AGTGCACATTAAAATAATTCAAATTCAAAGAACAGTTAAGTAAATACACAAATGCTTAACATACACGTTAATTATTTCTATTAAGTATTATGGGTATTTTATGTTAGATGAGTACTGTACCATCATCCAGCTGGCTGCACAGTCAATTTGTTTACCCCAGCTACACGTTGTGCACTACAGTCGCTTACATCTCCTACGTCCTGTTAGCTAATCGAATTTTTCAGCTCTAGGGCTGCAGCCGTTGAAGGACGTGGTCTATGTAGTCTTTGTAGGCTGTGTCCTTCAATGGTTGGCGCAATGAATCTTGTGATCTCAGCAAAAGAATAACACATTTCCAGGCTGCATTTTAAGGAGCCATCGAAATGGGACAGTCTTGTTCCGGTCTTCAAATGTAGCCTTAGAAGGATACAGCACCTGAATTCGGACACAGCCTAATTTAACGGTTTGGGACCTTGGACGGTCGGACGTTGTGTGGAGGGACGTTAAGTGACGAGTATGTAGGCATACTGATTTCAGGGAGGGGGCAATATCTGAGAGGGAGGAAGGGGTGGCTGCCGCGTGAGTAAAAAAAATTGCTAATTTTATCGGGAAATACCGGAATATTCCAAGTATACTCTCAAAATACCATATGCCGCGGTATAATGTCTGGACGGTATTAATATCGCCCAAGTATTTAGTGCTGGCTGAAGGGAGGAAGGTTGCTGGAGAGCCAGCAGTACAATTCACTGACATGAGTCCTGCGGTGGTAAAACCTACAAGCTAATTTTACTGCCATTGAATAGCTGAAGGACACATTTCCGGTACGTTGTGCATCGTTCTCGGGTGTCAGGGAGCTGCGGTCCATTTCCAGAAGACTCCTGCTGTGGATCTTCCAGGAGAGGTGGGATGTTTGCGTATACCTACATATATGATATGGGAGGGTTCTTGCATGGCATGAAACAACAAAATTTGGACGGAAACATTCATATTAGAATGCCATGGTTGCACACTTCAATATACCTTGCTAATCACTGGATACAAACAAAAACAATACGTTATATATTTTCCCTTACGAAAGCATTACAAAGCTGTAATGAACAAGCTCATAAAGTAGAATTTGTCATCTACATTTTTATGATTTAAATATATTTCTTTGGTCATAATTTAAATGATTTAATATACTTAAAGTCATCTCTCTTCTGTAATCTCGGGTGATGACACTGGTGAATACTACCTAGAGATGTTTTACAATTTAAATTGTGGCCCTATTAAATGGTATAGCACAGCAATCATGGAGCCGTTTGCAATATAGGTGAGAAATGGTACCATTGTGAGGTGCATTAATAGCGGCACCTAGTGGTCATTTGATACAACTAACTATACCAAAATGAACTTGGGAGATCTCTGTTGCAGTGGTTCTCAACCAACTTTTGCACCGCGACCCAATTTTTTACCATACAAGCTCAGTCGCTACCCCTTATCAAGTATAGGTTTAAATTAACGCTGTGCTCAAGCAGGCAGTGCACTCTGCGTTTTACACCAACCAATGCGTACACCAACAAATCTGATTGGATGTGCCCAAAAAAAAATTTAACTAAGCATCTGTGGTTTGGCTTCGTGGATTGGATGAGTGTTCACTAGTTTTGCGCGAAACAGTTGTAAACCCAAGACGCGTTTATATAGGTTAATTCTACGACTGGGACTGGGAAATCTGATCGCAGATCAGCCTAGAAGTTTGCTGGTTTTAAAATACTTACATTTCCAACTCTGCTTCGCGACCATTTCAACTTGCCGCCACCCAAATTTGGGTCGCGACCCACGGGTTGAGAATCGCTGCTCTATTAAAAAAATTGGCGCATTAATTTATTTTTGTGCCAGTTGTTTCTGAATATTAAGGTATTCTTATATTAACACATATATAATAAATATAATTATAAGTGATTTTATACCTACAAATATAACGTGTACTGCATTTTTCACATAAATATTTAGAAATATTTGTAAAATTGGCACGTTCAGTAATTTTCCGATCTATTGAGGTTTAAACTGCGTTCATTTAAGTGTATGTGATCAATAGCGATGACAATCTAGCTAGTATAACTATTTGCAATTGCAGCACGGTAGTTAGGCGTAAGTCTTCGACGAATAACAAGTAAAAATGCCTGTCACTGTAGCAAGGAAACGTGGCTGATAACAGCCGCCGTGTGGAAGCACCAAGTCCTATCAAACCGCAAGGGGAACCTCCAATCTGCGAGAACCATATTAACGTTGCTCTGATAATAGTTACAAGGTTCGTATCGCTAATCAGGGCAGTATGTGGTATTCTTCTGCACTGTTCACAGGATCTGTCCTTCCCAAATTCGAACAAATTGGAACATAATTAGATTTGCTAGGTTGGGGGGGCCAATACAATATGCTTTCATGGGGCCAGAAATCTCTAGCCGTGCCCCTGATCGTACAATGACAGTATGTGACATCTGAAGCATGTTATTCATAATACTATGCGCGCGCACACATAGTTCTAAAGCTCCTGATCTACCCAGCGGCACCTTAAATGAACAAGAAAAATCACGTTATATGGTACCCTCCTGTTCTACTGGCATTAAAATGATATAATAATGTAACATTTTATATTATGACTTAAGCATACAAAATACAGCAATTTGCCTTTTTATTCGTTAAAGAGAATAACAATAAATTATACATAGGCTATACCATTCAACAATTGACGTATCGCTGTAGTTCAATAAACAAAATGCATACATTTAAATTTTACCGAAGAAAAAATTGTAATCTACACAATTAAAGCCAAAACAATTTATTGTTTTGGCTTTCAGTTGCATATGTATAATCATATGCAGTTTTTTTCCGAGTCCCTTGATACTTATTAAGCGGAAAGTGAAAAGCAGCATTTAAATACATATTCAGCCTGAAGGTGTAAAGTCCATGATTATAAATCAATCATTAACACACACTTAACGAGTCTTTCTATTACATGCCCACAGAGCAGTGATAAGATTATAAATGTAATTCAAGGCGTTTTATGGCCTACTGCTCTGCACGACACCAGTGGAGCTCGAAGCCCATGTGACGCCATAGGCAAGTTGCACTGCTGTGAACCCAGCCGTTTGCTACAGGTAAGTCACTGCCCCCTCAGAAGATGGTGCCCCACGTGGCCACCTATGACGCTGTAAGGTTGACCGGCTCTGCACGGAACGGTCTATGGCAGTTTTGATAGCAATTAGCATCAGAAACGGACATTTCAGGTCCAGAAAGTAAAAATCCAAGCCAGGATTTTTACTTTCTGGACCTGAAATGTCCGCGACTGGTTAACATCAAGCAGAAGAGATATTTGGCGGGTATATATTCTATATTAATTTGCATAGGATGCTATTTATTTAATTACATTTAATGGGGGTGGCATGATGGTACAGTGGTTAGCACTCACACCTCTAGACCTGGGTTCAAGTCTCTGACAGGGTTCCATGATTATGGTAATTGCATGCTCTCCTCATGTTGTCATGCAGTTTCCTTTAGATACTCTGGCTTCCCCCCACAGTCCAAAAACATGCTGAGGCTTTTTGGAGTACCCATATTTACTGTAAGCCTCAACATGTGAGTGAATGGTGTGTGAGTGTGCCCTGCAATAGGTGGTACCCCCTCCTGGGTTGTTCCCTATCTTGGACAGACCCTGGACACCCCCTGACCCTGAATAGGACGAGTGGTTTCAGAAGATGGAGGGATGAATATTTTAATAACATCAAGCATCAAACGAATGATTATGTGTAATTCCATGAAGATCACCTATGTATTAATTATACCAAGGAAAAAAAAATTGCAATAGTAACATCTTATCAAGAGTTTGAAAATGTTGCAGTGAGTGTGTAGCACTTCCGATTAGTATTATGAATATTGTTGTTTGTTTAGAAAGATAAAATTAATCTTTATCACCACAAGCAACCCAATATCTGCCTTACCAGCGGGACTGTTAGCCAACGGAAGTCAAAATTTAACTTGACAGACTCAGTCATTGGTACACAGTATGAAAAACATGCACATTGCAGCCTAAGCATTGCACAGTATACCGCAACTGCTATTTACAACATAAATAGATGAATAATGAATATGAATGTTGCATATTCATTTACAGTATTTACAGATACATACGGCTTCGTGCAAGACATGCTGGTCCAATACATAATCGGTCCTGCCCTGCAGACTAACACCGGTGTGTGAGATAAATTTCAAATTATTACAAATATCTGACTTTGTGCTAGGGCTGGGACGATTATTTGACAATTATTCCGCTAATAAGCTGGCTAGTTGTTTCACTGCTGGCACCGTTAAAACCATATCAATTAATTAATGAATTCCGATATAATTTTGTCTAATATCGCCGGTGCCAGCAGTGCCCCACTATTTTGTAAGCCATGCACTGGCCAATCATGTAGCACTTCTTCATAAATATTGAGACATCTCCTACCACCCTGCAAAAAGGAAATTTGCCGCACTTGAGCACTGAGTTCTTACTGTGTGCTGATTGGTCAGTCTCCTATAATCATGCATGTGTCACTAATGGTAATGTGAAACAGCTGGATGAGTCTTTCAGTCAAGGAAACAAATCAGTCAAAGCACAAGAAGAGCTGAACTATTTAGCCGAGCACAGGAGCCTTTCAATTTGAAAGTAGTTTGTAAAACCCAAAGTAACTCAAAGTGTCTTCCCTGACACGGATTATCTGGTCACCCTAAGTGATTATTAACTTAAGTCTAACATAGAAATTGTATTGAATATCTTAAGACTTGGCGTTTTTTAAAATAATGCTCTAATATTTAAGAAATGTTTTAATAAATTGAAATGTTAATGAGAATTTCAGATTTGTGTGTGTGTGGGGGGGGAGAGGGTAAATTGTTGATTTAACTGACTAACTTGAAAATAATTGCTTATCAATAAATTTATCGTCAGATCAATCTAAAAATTAGTTGTTAGATCAGTCGAATAATCGAAAAAAAATCATTTAATTCATTTAGTCATTTAAAGAATAATCGTTTGGGACAGCACTACTTTGTGCAGTGTACTTGAAGACGCACGTGAAAGGTTTGTCCACTCATGGTTCGGAAGCCGGGTAACAGTGTGAAGGTGTTTTAGCGCCTGAGCGCCGCAGGGGGCGCTGCAGGTGGGGGGGACTAGTACTATTGGTGGCGGCTGTAGTTACGTAACGCGAGATCTTAGCGGCGTGGCGGACTGTCGGCTCTCCTAGCAGCATTAGCCAGCTGCTCCTGCACTTACTAACCCGGTAGGAGCAAACCTTTACTGCGGTACAGATATGGAAGCAAAGTCCCTCAAGGAGGCCGAAAGGACCTGCGTGCTCTGCTGCCAGGACGTCGACATTTACGCCCTGGGAAAATGTGACCACCCGGTGTGCTACCAGTGCTCCACCAAGATGAGGGTGCTCTGCGAGCAGAAGTACTGCGCAGTCTGCCGGGAGGAGCTTGACAAGGTGCCTTAACTTCCCGCTACTACAGCCCGGGGCTTGCGCGGCCGTGTAGGCCGCTTAGCCAGCTAGCTAAGTCAGATAGATAGATAGCTAGCTAGCTAGTTTTGTATTGTACTACTTGTCATACATTGCTCACATACTGTTATTGTACTTTATACTGCTTATTTATGTTATTCAAAAATAATGTGACTGGTAGTATTTTGTAGCTTTAATGTTTCGATGGTCGTTGTCCCTTGGCATTTTTGTATAAAAATGGTTTGTTTTTGTAGTGGCTTGACGTTGGCTAGATTGACGTTTTCTTAGTTAATGCTCGTCATTAATGTGGTAAACGGTTACTGGCCACGATAAATGTAGACGCTTGACGGGAGGCGAAGGGCGAGCCGGCCGGCCGCTTCATTTTTCTGCGTACGTTTCTAATCACTGTCAGATTTATTGGTGTTCTGTAGTGATTGTAAATCACCCTCTTAAACCGCATTGTGTTGTTATTGGTTTCTTTATTAACTTTACTTTTAATGTTGGGTTCCTTTCCGTAGCGGGAGTAGGTATGACAGATCTGTTGGTAGCCTGTCATCGCCGCTTGTCTTAACAGCTGATCTCGGCTGTAGGTCGCTGCATGCCTGCCTGCAGTTCTTACACGCATAAAAACTAGGAAGTACGTCTGCCCACTCCTGTCTTATGAGGCAAAGTATCTCCGGTGTGGGCTTTCAGTGGGTTCGGAATAAGGGGCTAGATTAGGATATAAATCTATTGGTTGAGATGTAAATCTGTATAACTCATTAAACAATCTGACCTGATACACGCTAGCAGGCTTTTTTTAATCGATTTGTCTGTTTACCAATTTATTTATTAGTATTGGCAGCTTTATCTGATATTTTCCAATTTGAAAATACCTTGACGTAACCCAGAGGAAAGTAATAAATAAGTATTGCTTTTCTAAGTTGCCTTTTGAGTAGTTGATGAAAATATTTTACTGCTGGCATCACAAAACCATCCCCAAAAGCATCTCTGTTATCCAGTGTACTGTTAAACGTTGAGACTTCTTTTTTTCTAGGTTGTTTTCATCAAGAAACTTGAACCTTTTGCTGCCATTGACACCAGGCGATTTCAGTGTGAGAGGAAGTATGACATTTATTTCTGTGATGGCAAGACGTATTCGCAGTTCAGGTAGGGGCAGCCATGTTTCTTTGCACGATTTTAGTGCTACACAATTATAGTGTGTCCTCTATATTTCCATCATATTTGTCTTTTGTAATCTATGACATCTAGGAGGATCTTGCAATCTGAATGTCCCCAGTGTCCAGAACCGAGGATATTCGCTACGTTTGAGGAACTGGAATATCACATGAGGAAACAGCATGAGCTGTTTTGCTGTAAACTGTGTGCGAAACATTTAAAGGTACCTCATCCCAGCATCTAAATGCTGCTTTTTAAGTCTGTCCTCTGTCATGTAATTGGCCGCTCGCATCCTTCTCAAAACTCACTCCTCTCACATCCTGTTCCTTGCAGATATTCTCCCACGAACGAAAGTGGTACAATCGGAAGGACCTGGCACGACACCGAACTCAGGGCGACCCCGATGACACCTCGCACCGGGGACACCCCCTGTGTAAATTCTGCGATGATCGGTACCTGGACAACGATGAGTTACTGAAGCACCTGCGCAGAGATCACTATTTCTGTCACTTCTGCGACTCTGACGGAGCTCAGGAGTATTACAGGTAGTGTGAACCCTGTTTGTGCTTGAGTTTATTTCAGGCTTTATATTTGGAGGAAAGCTACTGTGTTATGCCTTGGACAGTGGCAACAGCATCTGATTGTTGCTCTTGCAGCGATTATCCATACTTGCGCGACCACTTCCGCGATAGCCACTTCCTGTGTGAGGAGGGCCGCTGCAGCACTGAACAGTTCACCCACGCTTTCCGCACCGAGATCGACTATAAGGCCCACAAGGCAGCCGCCCACAGCAAGAACCGGGCCGAGGCTCGGCAGAATCGACAGATTGACCTGCAGTTCAACTACGCACCAAGGCACCCGAGAAGGAATGAAGGTGAGGGTGTTCCCGTTTTGGGACAGACATTTTAGGAAATTTGTGACTAATGCTTAGAGATTGAGCAATGAGGACAGTCACCACATATTGCAATTAATTGACCCAGTTAATGACATGCACGTTTTACATGCACGTGTACAAATAATTACATAATAAAACAAGAATTCATCGTGTTTGTTACATATTATTGCGTGTAATGTTCAGATTAGCCATGCAGGCAGTGTTTTTAATTTACATTTGCATACTGCATGTTTTTTCTGGGGACCTCTTATCATTCCTAACGTAATGAAACCATGTAATTCTGAGATGACATAATTTTGGTCCAGGTCGTTTCCCTTCCTCCTTTTCTCTCTGTTATTTGTGTATCGGTCAGCTGCGTTTAAAGGTCATTGTAATTGCGTGTCATACTTACCTTTAAAATACGGATGCAGATTGCTAGTACATGATGTGCATGAGTGTCCAAAAAGGACAAGTTAGACAAATTTTAGATGCTATAGGTTTGCATGCTCTGCATCTGTAATATTTGGCTTAAATGCTCTGCCCTACTACTGCTGAGTTAAAGGTGCTGCACATCTCACAGCAGAATGAGGGCCTTGGGTTATACCATGGTGAGAAGCATTAAAACCGCTCGGCTCAGTGTTGTGGTGTGTCGCACCCGAGGTATCGGAGGGGAAGATTACGAAGAAGTGGATCGATTCAACCGGCAGGGGAGATCGGGGCGGGGTGGGGCTCGAGGGGCCCCACCGAACCGGAGAGTGAGCTGGAGATACGACAGGTATGGCCTCCGACAGGCCCCGGCCCACGTGGCCTTTCCCCTCGCCTCCTGGTGGCAGCGTGTCACCCCACACCCTGTCATTTCAGGGAAGAGGAAGACCGAGACATCGCTGCTGCCGTGAGAGCCTCCATCGCCGCGCGTAAACAGGAGGAGAGGAGACAGGCCTCAGAACGAGAGGCGCCCAAGGCACGGAAAGAGGAGCTGATGGACGTGGAGGAGACCCGAAACCACAAGAGGGCAGCCAGGCCACCTGGGGAATCTCTAAGTAACCCTTTACGCCCGTGTTTGAAAATGCTTGTTTTCAGAGCGAAAGATAGTGTTTGACGTTTTGCAGAAGTGAAGAGCAAATTTCTGAAACTCGGTCCATTTTTCATTATTTTTGAGATGAGACCGCCAATGACCTATAGTCAGGCTTCCTCGTCAAATGTTAGTTTTCTTGCAAACATCTTGTGGACTGAATGAGTTTTAGAAATTTGCTGTTCAGTCAGCACACTTGGACAAATGTATGGTGTGTATGGTGCAGCCAGTGGGCTTCTGATATCGGAGGCTCAGTGATCACGCTACACTTTGGCTCATTCAGCCCCCAAGGACGTCGGTCAGTCCGCTGGCCCCAAGGAGCCCCAGAAAGGAGACGACTTCCCGCTTTTAGCAATTCCGGCTGCAAACACACCCCCAGCCGCTACAAGGTAACCCCTCTGAAATTTGCCTGTCACAGCTCTGTCCTCATCACAGCGTAGGCTTGGGCGTGTTAAATACAGCGCCTGTGATTGACGGCTTAGACGTAATGCAATGCTGACTCATTTGCAACCTTCGCAACATGTCACACTGTTTAATGCTGCAGTACCAGTCAAAAGTCTGGACACACCTACTGAAAATTGTTTGTTTTTCAATAAGTTAATGACCCTGAGCACACATCAAGGTTGTATAGTAAGTATTATCTTCTGAACATGGAAAGAGATGGGGTGCTGTGATGGCCCACAATCCCCTGACCTGATCTCTATGGAGATGGTTTGGGATGATTTGGATCTAAGAATAAGAGCAAAGTAGGAAACTTCAGGACTGTTGAACTATTTTGAAGAATCTAAAATTTGAGAAGTTTTGAGATGTTGATTATTTCATTGCCTCAAGGCTTTTTACTATAAAGTGAATAACACGGTTAAAATGGAGTGAAAAGCATTCAAATCAGGTGTGTCCAGACTTTGTACTGTAAATAGACTTGAATTTGCATTGGGTGTCATTTGCCATCTTAGCTTATTGGCCGTGAGCACCGATGATGGATCATTGGATGTCGCTCTTTCTAACAACATTGTTATGACTTGGGCTTTTATTAGTCTGCAAGTTGTCTGCATTTCTGGAAATACAAGGCTTGTGAAAATGTACTTGCTCATGTTATTGAAATATGCCATATTTGTATTTGGAAAATGGTATATTTATTACATTCTAGCATTAATAAATGATAAATTTGTCATGCTGCTTGTCACTTTTTATAATGAATATGTTCAGATTTCCTGTCCTGAGAATAAACACCAAATACTTTATTTTACTGATTGGGTGCTGTACTTGGCAATTTTTTTGTTTTTGAGAGAACTTTGTTCATATATTGAGCAGTTGTTAATGAAGAAGGGAGTTCTGCTGTAAACCCATTTGACACAGATTCTAAATCTGACTGCTGTCAGCCGCGATGGGGCTTTGTAACGAGATCATGTTCAAAGATGTTTTAAGATGTCCCCTGAAAGGTCTTGTTCTGTTTCTCTGCGCCCAGCTTGACAAAGCCAGCCGGCATGAAGCTGCAGGATGCCGATTTCCCCCGTCTGTCTGGCTCGTCCCCATCCCCCCTCATGACTCCAGCGTACACTGCGCCGGCCCGGAAACCCTCTGCCTTCCAGGAGGATGACTTCCCGGCACTAGTCCCCAAAATCAGTCTGCAGAAGCCCATGGGCAGCACGACCTCGGCCTGGTCCCAGTGTGGCAGCAAGAATGTCGTGCAGCCTTCAAAGCCGACCCCTATGCCCGGGCCCGCATTCTCCTCCCCTGCCGGCCGGCCGCCACCCTCTTCTGCCACCTCTCAGCTTAGGAAGCCCCAAGCAGGTGGGGGTAAAGCTCCAGCCAGAGTCAGGTCCCCATCATCTGAGGAGGATGATGAGCCCGGCAGAAGCGCCCAGGACATCCGCAGCGTGCCCACCATGTTGGACATCTCGTCGCTGCTGACCGGTACCTCTCAGCAGGGCTCCAAGGTGAACAAGAGGAAGAAGCAGCCTGCGGCCCCCCCACCTGGGAGCCGTCCCCCCGGGGACTCAGTTTCCAGCACAGCCCAGAAGGAGAATGTTCCAGAGGCTAACCAGCCCCCAGCACTTATCCCTCCCAAACCAGCGGTAGCCCCAAAAACCAGCCCTTTCATTAATGGGCACATAGACAAGCCCTCAGAGAAACCCAGTGGTGTTCCCAAAGAACCTCCTGGACTGGAAAAGCGGCCTGCATCTGACCCCTGTCTGCTTCCCAGAGAAGAAGACTTCCCTGCTTTGATACCAAAACAGCTGCCACCTCCAGGTAACTAGTCCCACCAAGGCACTTGAACCCTTGATTCTGTTAAATTATGATGGAGCAATTCTGCAACAAAAGGTGCATATTTGTCCTTACAGGGTTCAAAAGTACATTCCCATTGAGTGGCTCCCAGAATGGTGTGCCGCCCCCTCCCCCTGGATTAGCAGCCCCTCCCAGCAAGCCCCCTCCCGGATTCACCGGCATCCCTTTGAACGCCAACGTCGATCCTGCAGTCCCGCCAGCTAATGAGTCAGTGAACATACTTTCCATCTGCTTACTGGTTTTTAAAATGACCCTTAGGGTGCCGAGCGCCCGAGTTGCTGCCTTGCCCATCGAGTTCTAGTAGGGAGTGCTGCCTTGCCCATCGAGTCCTAGTAGGGAGTGCTGCCTTGCCCATCGAGTCCTAGTAGGGAGTGCTGCCTTGCCCATCGAGTCCTAGTAGGGAGTGCTGCCTTGCCCATCGAGTCCTAGTAGGGAGTCATCTCCAAAGCCAAAGTGACGCATTTTTTTACAGCATGTAATTATAATGGACAGTTCAGTACCACAGAACATTTGTTGTACAGAGAAATTTTTGTTATATAAATTGTCTTTGCTCAGAGTGTATTGTCTTTTGATTTGTTTTTATCGTATTTTTTAGATCAGCGCAGTCACCAAGGACCTACCTCAGACCAGAGAACTTCCAGGAAAGAAACATGGACCTGATACAATCAATAAAAAATTTTCTCCTGAACGATGCATCCAAGTTCAATGAATTTAAAACATATTCAATACAGTTCAGACAGGTAACTAACTCAGTGGAGCTTGGGAAACCTTAGCGATCGCCCGCTTTGAAGTGCAGATTGTGTGTGTGTGTGTGTGTGTGTGTGTGTGTGTGTGTGTTTTATGGATTCACTTGTACCTTCTGAAACTTGAATGACAAAATGATTTCCTGAAAAACTAAACCTTGGTTTTTAAAAATCTGGTTTTGAAGTGTTCATAAGACAATGTTTTTGTCTTGCAACATAGAGACGAATCGTGTGTATGTGTGTTCCCATGATACAGTACTGCTTTTTTGTTTCTGATTGTTTCGCTGTTACATGCAGTGTTGGGGAATCAAGGCTTCGACGTCATACATTAAAGCGTCCTCCCTATCTGCTTGCTGCCAGCCTCACCTTCTCGCATACCTCTTTAGAGTGTATCCAATTGGGTGGCCGGTGTGGGTGACCACTGTTGTTGGTATTGCAGGGCATCATCTCTGCGGCACAGTACCACCAGAGTTGTCGGGATCTCCTGGGGGAGAACTTCAAGAGGATCTTCAACGAGCTCCTGGTGCTCCTCCCAGACACCGAGAAGCAGAGGGAGCTCCTTGCCGCTCATGGGGATTTCAAGGCCCTGGAGAAGCAGTCCAGTAGCAAACATAAGAAAAACAAGAAGAGCGCCTGGCAGACCGGCTCCGGCAACAGCAGTCTGGAGCTCGACTGCCAGGTCTGTCCCACCTGTAGGCAGGTCGTGGCCCAGAAGGACTTCACTACCCATAAGACTCTGCACATGAGCGATGATGACTTCCCATCTCTGCAGGCCATCAGCAAGATCATCAGTTAACCCATGGTAGATGGCTATAGTCAGAAGCTAGGATCCCAGAATCTCCGCATTGTAGGAAAACAAGCGGTCTTTCATTGAATAACCTGGAGATGGTGCACATCCCTGAAATACAGCAGTAAGACATGCTGTCTGATGTGAGGTGATCTGGAAGGAGGAGGCTGATATAAATGAATGGATGCAAATTAAAGAAAGACTGCAAACCTGTCCGAAAAGGTCACTGCTGATTTTGGATCTACTGAATTGTTTCACAGCTAGGAGTTGTTTCCCAGAAGGCGATTAATATCTGCTTGGAATCGTTAAATTATTACTGGTGGTGTTCTTTGAAGCTTGAACTTTTGCTTATTTCTTATAGAAATGTAAACATTTAAAATTATTATAATTAATATTTCAAATTTCGGATGGTTATTTTCTGGGAAGTAGTAATGTAGCAGGCGGTAATTCTTTTTTCTCCTTTGTTTTGTAAACGTTTCTAAAGATTCAAAAACAGTGGGGCTGTAGTCTTACTATTTCAATAAAAAGTACCGGAGGATTAAAAGACAGTCAAAAATGTTTAATAGACTTATTCTAGCACTGAAAAAAGAGGCTTATGTGTTGGTTTAATGAATGATATGCAGAGTCATCTGTGTTAAATGGCAGGTGAACATACTGCCAGTTAACCAAGGGCAGTGCACTTCAAGGCGGATGAGGCATCTATTGCCTGTCTGCAGTTTGGGGATGTGTACTGAATTCTAGAGAGTACCCAAGTCGTGTGCAGGCCTGAGTTTTAACACTGAGCTGAATTTCATGAATCAGAAAAACTCCCATTCCATGTGTGCAGACTGTTTCACCACGTTCATTTGTTAGCAGATGAACACTAATTTGGTAGCTTTAAGGAGCTAAAGACTAAAGAGCTGTTTGGAGTAAAGATTCTAGGAGTAAAAATGTCCTTAAAAATAATCTACAATGTGAATGGAGTCTTTTTTTCTTTAAAACACACACCTTCTAATTACGCTTTCTTTGTTCAAACATCTTTATACTCTTCTGATCAGGAAGCCACATGGCTGCTGCTTACTTGATTATTATGGCAATATTTGTTATCGAATGATTTTTGGATTTCTGCACATTCTGTATATTTCTCCTATTGTTAGTGGTTCTCTCCTGGTCATGGACTCCTTGTCCTGCATCCTTTGTAATCCGTAAATGTAATGTGGACTGTTAATATTGGTTGTCTTTGCTCTGTTAATTTAATTGTTTGTTTTTGCCAAACTGAAGAGCTGGTGAAGTGCTCTGTCGATTGCTGCTGGTTCTCCTTGAGGCGACGTTGGCCTCTGGCTGTCCCGCACGTCACGGACGTTCCTTTATGCTTCTGTCAGTCCACTGACAGTCTGTCCGTTTAATTTAGCCAGACTGGCCTGACCTTGTATATATGGAAGTTTCTCTGCTGACACTTGGGTTTCTGTCAGATTTTTCATACTGACTTTCTTGACACTGGGACCATCTTCAAACTCAAAGTATTTCACAGCTGATTTGCAGGGGTTGTTTTCATCCTTGACGTCTGTGTCTGTTTCAGTTGTGTTCATACTATCCAGATTTAGCTTGAGGTGCTTCAGTAAAAGGAAAAAAACGGTGGCTTCCAGATTTCCTGAAAGGTGGCAATAAGTAGACTGTAGTATTAGGCTCAGCAAGCTTCTATATTCAAGTTCCTGTACTTTATATTAATGCTGTCAATTATGCTGTCCCCATTTAGTAAATGTGCTTCTCTTTCACTGGGAAATGAGTTGCCTAAAACCTCAAGTGTATTTTGTAATTTTTAGGGTACTTCAAGAATCATTTCATGTTTTTTCCCCCCATTCTTAAAAATATTTATTCTTATCGCCTCAAAAGACAATTGCAGTCCAAACAAATGCAATAAGACGACCAACAGTACTGGGTGACTTTTACAGGAAAAAACAAAAACCCAGGGAAAACAAACAAAAAAAGAAACAAAATCCATGCTGTAAAATATCTGTATATAACAAGGGTGCATTATTGGTACAGGATACACAAGACCATGAACAGTTAGTTCATTAAGATATATTGAATAACAATATCACTTGTGTACATTATCCTATTTCACAGCATATACACGTTAGCAATGTGCTACCATAGATTACACAAAGAACCATTGACATGAATTTCAGCACCCCTCACCTGCTTGTTACAGGGATTATCTCGAAAGTCGCAAATGGGTTCCATTGTAAACATTTTATTTCATCCTTTGTGAGAAGATCCAGAATCACGTTGGAGATTATATGTATCTAACCCACTCTGAAGACCATGGACATTTTTCTAAATCAATTACTAAGCATTTATTTTATATTCTATTCCTCTTTATTCCCATCTAACTGAACAATATGGCCTAAACATTCTTGCATGACAGTTGGTCTTTACTCATGTAATGACCCCTGTCTTCAGATGTTCCTGCCCTTGAATGTTTTTGAACCAAGTCATCTTTTTACAGTCTATCCACTATACATGTAGTATCTCGTAAGAATGCCCCAAATTTTGGTCCTGTTCTGCTTGTGGTTTACGTAATGCTGAAATGTGTAAGGCAAAGATCAAGCCCTCATCAATACAGTATATATGATCACTTCTTTCTTACCCTTTTTAGAAATATGTAACTGGCAGTTTATTGTCAAATAGTTACATTCTTCAGTACTTTGGTTCACTTAAATCTTTTCCTTTGGGTTAGACAACTAAGCGAATGTAAACTTTTGAGAAGATCCCTTTGAAACATGGTGACAGGGTGCAATGTAGGCATTGCGTGCTTACAATCACATTAGTACGGATTTTTTATTGAGCATACCTGTTCCTTTCACGTGCCTATTTCTAAGTACTATAGTAAGGGAAACATTTTTTTTGCTTTTATACAGAACTAGAATACTGTAATTACATATACTTTTACACACCGGACATGTCATTGGCTTTGATCACGAGGAGTATATAAATTGTCATAAAACACAGAACAGCTATATCTACAAAGGAGTGTCTTGATGCAGTAGTTTGCTAGCGCCCCCCACTGGAGCGAGACGTGTACACGTGTAAAATGGCTCATTGAAAATGAGGCATTTCACGAATCATCAAACAGTCACACGACGAAGGTTGATGGCTTAATGACGATGCGAGTGAATATTTCGCTGGAATGCTTCACAAGTACTGTTATTTTGGTGGAGTTTTGTTATTGTTCCTAATGAACTCAGTTTCATATTTGAAAGACTTGAATTTACAGGACACAGAAGTTTAGTAGTTCAGCATCTTCGTGTACTTCACTGTACTGATTTCAAACAGTCTTGGCTCTTAGCACAGCCTTAAGTTATATACAGGCACCGTTTTTATGACACTTAAGGGTTTTGTTCATTTTTGCTTGGTTTCTCAAAACTGACTTCATGTTTGATTGAAAATTAAAGTGACGTGCTCGTTGGCATTTGTCTAATCTGTTCATATACAATGCAGTCAGGGTATAAGGAATAATCATATTTAGATCCCTCATCTTGAAAAAGAAATGGGATTTAACTTAATCAGGTTTTGCAATTTCCTGACTGGGCGTGCCTGATTGAAGGAGCCCTCCATGTCTGATTTCCACAGAACAACGTCATCCTTTCTTTGACTTTCCTGATATCTAAATTACTGGTTATTAAATCTTCTGCTAAGGGTAGTCTGAGGGAACCTGTAGTGTTACACTCATCTCTTGATCCAAGCTGTAGCAGTCTCTGGAAAAGTAAGGTCCTACTTGGCATCCGTTCTACCAGGACGAAGATGAAGATACAACCGACATACTGCTTCCTGTTCACAGAAGGTCACGGCACGACTACCTACGAACACCATCACGCTACCCAGCGCCAGCAGACAGGCAGAGACATAAAGAAACAAACCTTATGGGGCACCAACACTGCAACACACACAGATAAGATGCATGTTTCCTCTGATATTCTCCTAGCAGCTTGGACACATTGGCGGCTGTTTAGTAAGTCGGCACCTGATAGCTCTTCGTGCTGGAATCGAGGTGCTCGGTGAACGGCGGACTCTGGTAGGTGTCCGTGGCATCCACGCCGGTCCCAGTGGGGTACGGCTGTATGGTCGGGTTGCCGTCAAAGTGATCCGTGGCGAAAAGGGTCATGTCTGTGCCTAGCATGTACTTCTGCGTGGCCCTTACTGTCAGCCCGGCCTGCAACACATTTTGTGAAATTAGTGTCAAAGAAGAGTTTTCCAAGTAGCCATAATAAGCTGCATCGACTCAAGCCTGCCTCCGTAGACTGTAATCTCCTGTACAGAACAAACTTATTGATTAGAATTCTTAGCAGGGGGAAGTCTGCTATAAATATGAATTTCATGTTCTCACTGTGACCTCATCAGTTATGGCCTCATTGCGTGTGTATATTAAAATGACCCTGGAAGTGCATTGGGCACAAATACTTAGTAGTAACTCAGTTACTACTGAAGTACAAATCATGAACAAATATAGTTGCTATAAATAAAAGATGCATCATGATTCATAAATGATGAACAAACATGAGATCAGAATTTCACTTGTATTACTCATTACTTGTTCCTTCAGTAGTTCACAAAGATTTACAGAATTAAGAGATAGAATAAAAGATGTGTGACAATTCATTAATGATAATGAAATATGAGATCAGTATTTCACTTATATTATTCATTACTTCCTTCAGTATTTCCTTCAGTATTTTGCAAAGGTTTACAGAATGAACAGATATGGTAACAAATATAGTAACGGCTTGAGATAAAAGATGTGTCATGATTCATTAATGACAAATCAACTACAGCAGAGATTCCCAACCCTGCGGACTGGTACCAGTCTGTGACCAGTATTCCACCAGACTGCGGAACACTGAGGGTTTCATGGAGGGGTTTGTAAATTTCCAAGAATGAAATATACATTTTCAATTTCTTTCTTACCCCTAATGTGCACATTCTGTTCCTGTCTGAAATAAATAGATGCAGCGCCCCCTGCTGTTTTATTAAGGCTGTAAACAGCACAGAAAACAGGACCAGCTAATTGATAGCACACTCTGGCAGCGCCATGATTAGGCTGCAGTCAGTATGGCACTGGAGGTTAACCGCAATACCCAGACCTGCTTTCCAAAACCTCCAAGACTTTGGATTATTAGATTATTATGGCTGGGAGTTTGAATCCCACCTAAGGCTCTGTGTGTGGAGATGATATGTTCTCCACATGTAGGTGGTGTTGGGGAAGCTACAAGCTACTAATGATTAAAAGTAGCTAAGCTACAGCCAATCTATTATTTTAATGTAGTAGTTAGCTACAGTGCAAGTTACAGAGGAATAGTAGCTAACTAAATCGAAGCTATTTCGGTAATACTTAATAGCTGTGCTGTACGATACTCTTAAAGCAAATGAATTTAAAAAAAATGTGAAAAATGATGTTAAAAGTTGAAACGAAAATTTATATTTTTTAACAATGTAATGTCAAATCACAGAAAGGTTTCAAAAAAAGTTGTATTTGGTGTAAACCAAGAGTGCTTCACAATTGCTGTGTGAATATTACAAGGGTTTCAACAAAAAAAGAGATTTTGATCATTCGTCCAAGAACTACATTGCTCCTATGCATTTAAATGAAATTGTCTAAAATATCGTTTGCCGTGAAGTATTTTTCAACCCTTTAACATCCATCCCCAGGAGTCTTCAAGCAAAAAACACTAATCAGAAACACCTGGTAGCTGAAAATACCCGTTTTTGTAAAGAGAGAAAAAAAATACAGGTCGTCGTCGACTTACGACCGCAATCAGTTCCGGTTGTAAGTCGGCCTTTTATTTGATATGCAAAAATGATCATATGTATAGTATACTGTATAATAAAATTATATCATCTTTAAGTCATATAGTTTGGTGTCTTAACCTTTTCATCACCATTTTCTTAGTTCCTTATTGTTATAACCTATTTATCATCATTTAAGGTGCTAAGACACAAACGGATACGAATGTATACTGTACTGTGACAGCAGCCTGAGCACGAGATGAATGAATGGGCGTCTCGCAGGGATGCTCACGTTGGAGGCAGTAGGGTGGAAACTGTCATGCACTCACATTTTACTAGGCTACATTGCTATTTGTAAAAAAATATGTATAGTTACTGGAAAAGCTATAGCATTTTAAAAATAGCTGTGTTACTGATAAGCTACTGAAGAAAGTAAAGTTGGTAGCATCGCTATTTTAAGTTATCTCCTTCTCAACCTTGCAAGTAAGTATGGGATCTTCTCCCAGGAATAGCAGGTTCCTCCCATATTTTAAAGGTGCCTGTGTCTCAGTTGCCCCATAGTGAACAATCTCCCCTCCTCAGTGTGCCCTGGACTGGGCTCCAGGATTGCCCTCTACTGAGTGACCTAAAACCTCAAGCTCGACCACGTTTCATTGTATTGTTTCTCCGGCATTCCTTTTCTGAGTATCAGGATTACCAACCCAAGTGATGATGGAGAAGAAGGAGAAGGCGATGGCAGCCCTGGCCGCATCTGCCCCTTGGTTCAGGGGCAGTTCTTTGGGGGAGGTGCGCTGCCACTGATTGGCCAAGAAGCAGAACCCTACAAACCACATGAATGTCCAAAAACCTGCAATGGAAGGAAGGCAGGAGCAGAGAGTAGCATTACTGGTAAATCTGATTAAACTGATAAATCATAGCAATGCAAAGCAATGACTATAACCTACCATCTCATTCCATCAGCAAATATTCCATGTAGCATTTACCTCAAATGTAAATAAGTAGCCCAGAGAGCAATATATTCATCTATCTGCCATAAATTCTGTAAGCAAGCGTCGTTTTTTCATGTGTATTACTTTCCAATTTGCCTTTCATTTAAAAAAAAAATGAGTCTGGCCTTCTTTTCTGACTTGTCTTCTGATGAGAGTTGGTTTTAAACCACTAATTACTTCAGAACTATGTCCTATATTTTCCCTGATGAAACCCAGTTGTGGTGGAGGTGATCTTCTCGTATCAAATCTATATCTTTCATATCTGTACTTCCTAGATGAGCTTCCTAGAAAACACTCCTGTTCATCTGTGCTCAGTTACAGGAACGTGACTGATCTGAGGAAGCAACACACATTTACACCTTAAACCACATTTTCACTAAGTATCTTAGGCTAAGCACAGAAATATGTCACAAATGTGTTTTCATTGTCAGAGCTCGAATGAGAAATGTATCAACTCTTATTTATTTCAGAACTATGGGAATCCACAATGAAAACCATTCTACAGAATCTGTGCACACAGCACTTTCAAAGCATACAGTAATGTCTGTCGGCATTACCCGAGAAGCCTATCTCCACGAGGATCGCCTTCTTCCTGTCTTTCACGCTGCTGATTTGTGGGAAGTGAATGTCCAAGATGAAGAACAACGTGCTCGCCAAAAATGCGACGACTCCAATGGTAATCCCATAGTTGCATGCGTCATTGTTCTTGTTGAAAATGCAATGCAGCCTTTCACTCCCGATGTTAATGTAGCCTTCGTTCACTATGGACCCAAACACTACAATGGAGAATATCTACAGGGGAAACAGAGTAAACTGCATTCAGCATTTATGCAACCACAGATCAGCCTCATGAATAACAATTCATTCAATTATTTGTACCATGCAAAATAATAAAGCAAATATTTGAAGTGTAGGAATACCCTCTAACTTGTAGGCCCTCAAAATATGGAGCAGTATTAGTAATAATGCACTCAGGTAATTTTCAAACTTTTCTTGCTATTGATCTAGGTATATTATTCACACTGCAATATTTTCTGAAACTACTTTTCCTATTCAGGTTACAGAAGGTCCAAAGCCAATCCCAGAGACTATAGGCACAAGGCAGTGAACAAACCAGGATGGGGCACCAACCCATCACAGGGCACACTCAAACACCTATGTGTAATTTGCTAACACCAATTAACTTCAGCATGTTTTTAGACTGGAGGAGACACCAAAATACCTGGGGGGGCGGGGGGGTACCCCACAACAACACAGGGGGAACATGCAAATTTCTCACCCTGGTCTCAGAAGTGAGAGGCAGCACTGGTAACTGCTGCACCACTGCACCTCCCCACTGCATTTCCAATAATATAAATTCTACAGTTGTAGAGAGTTCTTCAGTGGGACTTGAAGTAATATTCCAATAACTGCTATGAAGTGTGCTGCAAAGTGTGTTTGTATTTCATATAGTATTGAACAATTCTTGTGTCTGTAATACAAGCGATCTAGAAAGACGACAAATAAGGTCAGCCGTCTATATCCGTACAGCTATACAGGAAGAACTGATCAGGGTATCTGAGCACAACATTTGTGAGGCGCTGTTTTTAGCCTTGGAACTCCGTTAAATGACGCAAGTGAGATTTCTCTGTAGCCATGGGAACAGCAGCCATCACAATGATCTGCTGCCCCGAGGGGGGCTGGCGGGGTTCAGTGATGCTCCCAATCATCAGGAACAGAGAATACTAACCAAGTCCGCTTCATTCTCATATAACGCCTATCCATACACATTCAGTCCTACCGGAAAAAAGGTGAAACCACATTGGCAAAAGTATGTCTGCCATTTACCATAAAAAACATGGGGTTAATTAAGTGAGAGATACTAAACTCCTTTATATTCTTCTAGTCTACTAGATAACATGATACCGGCCCTATGAATTAAATAATCATTCACATCATAATATCTCTTATGTCAGGAACATGGGTGACAGAATTAAAGCTGAAGTTTCCAAAAACTTTCTGTACTTTGTAAAAGATCTTTGCCAGGTATTTAAATGCCTTTTGAGTTCTTGAAAATAGCAAAGCGAGTAGTATGTGTCAATCAAATTTAGAAGTTTAGACCCCAAAAACATTACATATTCCAGTTTTTTTCAGGTTATAAATGACAGGATCCACCAGACATCTTCCCTTGGGAGACCTAGTTCCTATGGTGCTCTAAACCGCATCAAGAATTTATAACACAGTGAATCACTATCTCTGACAAAGTTACACATCTAAAAATAATAATGTCCATATGCCACTTTTTCTTACTGCATTGTGGGGGAATTACATTTCTCTGTTGGCTAATGCATGGTGAAACATTTTTGCACAATATGTCACAGTTGCTAATTACTTTCAGAGTTTAGGAAATATTTGTTGCTGAGGTCTTACTGTACTGAGATATTATTATTATTATTATTATTATTATTATTATTATTATTATTATTATTATTATTATTATATATAGCTACATATTCAGCTAATTCCATTCTACCAGTTTAAGTTCCATTTACACTTAAGATGATCTAGACATCACTGTTATTTTACCCAAGACAAAAAGCCTTATGTTGCCCTGAAAAGATAAGGTATATACCGGTAATGTTTCATTCCTGAATACATAGAGTGTAGGTGTACATCATACTGCCTGTGACGTGTATGGGTTCAGGATTAATGGGCACACGTCACAACATGTGTCATGTGACTCCTTTCAGTTTCCTCCTATCAGCACGTAAGAATTACAGTATAAGGCCGAAATTCCCTTTGGGCTTAAAAAATATGGGAAAGGTATATACTGTATAGTAGTCTCATTTCAGAGGCTAGTTTCATAGGCTCCCAGCAGTTCTGAGACTTAACAGTTTGAGCTCTAACCTCAGTATTAAGATTATTTGTTACAATTTGTAGTTGCTTTCAATTTACAGATTCACATAAAGGTATTTTAAACCCGATATCTCCTGCAGTCCAACATATGCAGTTCCTGATATCAGAAGGAGGGATACAAACAAAATAATCTGATTTTCAGCAGGCCTAATTTTAGCACGTTTGTGGCTGGAGTCTTGTCCAGTGGGTTATGGTTGTATTTGTGGCATTTCACCAGCATCTTAATTACTTAGTGCCTCTCAACCTTGACACAGATTCATGGGAAATTGAGACGGCTTGTGTAATTTGGAACATTTTTGCCGTGATCAGTCAAATCGATGGATGCTGTAATATTACATGTGAATTACTGTGTATTAGTGAGCGTCAGTGGACATTTAGCAGTAACATAATGAGCGAGAGGTTCACTTAAACATGTAGCACGTGTTGTAAAGTACAATATCCGGCAGGAACAGGCCGGAAACACTGGGAAACAGCCCCATATAGTTTAGGCCAGGGGTGGGCAATCTTATCCGCAAAGGGCCGGTGTGTATGCAGGTTTTCGCTGCAGCTCCCTCATTATATTACTAATTAGAGGACTGATTGGCTGAGGAGTCCTCACACCTGGGTTTGAACAGCTGACCTAAAGGTTACCCTAAAGACCTGCATACACACCGGCCCTTTGCGGATAAGATTGCCCACCCCTCGTTTAGGCCTATATACTAATGGTCAGCTTGTTAATGAATTTCTGAATGAAATTTGCTGTCTTTTTCCTTTTTTTTTATAACCTATTAAATTTATTAGGTGTAACTATGAAAGCAAATTTGATTGTTTTATAACTGCTATTCTTATTAATTACTTAAATTTTATAAATTAATTTAATCTATGTAATACACATTAAGGCTTGTTGTACGACGCTAAAAACTGGCTTTTTGTCATGATACAGCGGACGCCTCGGAAATCTCACCGGAAAAATGCCGTCCACAGTTGTAACGCCCACAACACTCACATGCTATTGATGGTTACACAGTAGCGATTGTTAAACCCAGACGTACCGAAATTTGTAATCTTATCAAGGCATCTTTCTTTATGTAGGCGAATTAAAGATGTGAGAGAATTTGCTATCGATGAGCAATATCACGAGACCATGTCAATAAACAGATATTCACCCGCCGATGATAGTAGGGAAGCCGGAAAGGTGATGTATAATAAGCTTTTGGTTTTCATATCCCCTCTGACTTTTATACATGAACTGGTTTAACGACATGATATGATAACCATAAATGTGAACACTAACATGTACAAATTAATGGTGGCGATTTTTTTTTTCAAAATGAATAATCATAATAGATTTTTTCGGGAGAAATATAAATCGTTTTTTAAAAACCTATAACTCGCAGCGTTCATTGAGAGGTAACTGCTGGTGGAAAATGCAATACGCGAAAGAGCCAAATATCATAACAGATGATGCAAAAATAGGTATAAATAAGATGGAGCAGCACATGATCTGTGCTTATACTATATTTTCATATATGAAAATTTTGCCATTGAAGCGTAAACATGTTAAATTCGAGTTATCGGAATAATAATAATAATAGTAGTAGTAATGATAATGATGATAATAAAAAAACAACACTACAATGAATCATTAGTCAGATAATACATACTGTTGTCAAATTGATTTGTGGTATATATAGGTAGGCTACATATGGCACGATTTTTGGCTTTGATAATATACACAAAGGAACAAATAAATAATTTACCTTTCATTAAACTTAAGTGAATATGCACATTGTCAATGTACGTAAAATATATAAATACGAAACCTATCGCAAATGTTGCTGCTAGCTATTTTAGTCACGGATGTGTTCCCCCATTATTACCGACTGTAATTAATTTGGCACATTTCATAATTAAAATCGCGCATCCAGCAAAGAGCTAAAAAGCGCTTACCCAAGACAATATTCTAAGGATAGTCTGCGGCTGTTTGACAAAAGACACCGGGTCGAAAGCAGCCCCGGCTCTCCCAGCTCCGAAGGACCGTGCTCCTTCCATCTCTGCTGTCGCCGATCAGAGGAGATGCTGCTGAGTCTCCGGGCTCCGCGTTGGCGCTGTTGGTAGGAGCGGCCGTGTCCACACCCACCGCCTGGCGGCCGTCCGTACGAGCCTGGCGCGCCGCTCCAGCGCGAACGGACTCGCAGCACCTCGATTTCACGGACAAATGAAGCAATGGCATGTAGGAGGAAAAGCTATTATTGATTATTATTATAATATATTACGTAAAATGAAGAAATAAACATATCAAACTAGTAAATTGCCAATATATCCCCAATGGCCACTTTATTAGGTGCACTTAGCTAGTACCGGTAGGATCAACGTTCACTTCCACAACCCCTTCAAGGTTGAACGAGAATCCATTCTGTACACCACTGTCAATGTGAGGTGCTCTTTTTGCACTTGTGCCCTTCCTGGTATCTTTAGCCAGTCTGGCCAGTCACCTCTGACCTCTTTACTCTGCGTTTTCAGTTACAGAAATGCCCCTAACTGGATGTTTTTTGTCTACCATGCTATTGTCTGTAAACTCTAGATGCTGTAGTACATGAAAATCTCAGGACGGTGGCTGTTTCTGGGGTGCTGGAACCTCCATGCCTGACACCAACAATTATATCATGTTTAAAATCAGTTTACAGTGCATGTCCTAGCCGTTCTCATGAATATCCAGAAAAAGAGCCTGAAGCTGGCGGATGAAGGCACTTAATACTCTGTACTGCAGAATCTCCCATGCATAAAAATGCAATCGTTTTCCAAACTAGTCTTTGGGGAAACCATGGAGGGGGTTTAACTGCATCCTGACGCTCACAAATCCACTCCTGAACTTAAGCAGTTTGGATTTTGTTCCAAAAACTCTGTTATTCCAAATCCCATTCTTCAGCAGTGTAACATTTGTGCTGTCGTGAATGTTGCACCGTGGGCCCAGAAGGACCATTATTTCATTCCAGTGTGTGCTGCACAGGACTGAGATGACAGTAAAGCCTGACTTGACTTTTATCACGAGAGACTGCGTTTGCACCACAGAGTGAACCTGGTCCTGTAAAATGGTCCCATACAATATCTGCTGGTTGAATGACTATGAAGAGCAATCATCAGAGCCCACGACTCACACCAAATGGCTTTCCATACCATAATAGATCCCCTTCCATGCTTAATAGGCACCAGGCATCCTGAAAGCATCTTGTGGCATTCTTCAAATGTAAAGGGTAAAAGATGACTCATCAGACCATATTACCTTTTCCATTACTCAGGGCTCGAGGATTTGTCCTCATTTTAGCAGGGGTATATGTCTCTGCACTCTGGCCTTGGATACAAGCGATTTCTGAACATCAGCCCAGCCATAAATTGCAGCGTTGAGATATGTACAGTTTTTGTTAGGATTGGGTTACAGAGACGCAAGGTGAGTTTTGTGGTCATTTTTGGGGCTATACTTGTATGGTGTTTAGAAACCATCCTGTTAAGTGTCCCTCTGTCCCTGTATAGTAGCTATGACTTGTGGTCTCTGTTCCTCCTTTCCAGTGCAGTCTGTCCGATAATCGCCATGTGCTGTCATGATGTTTAAGACCCTTTTCCTTTCACATGTCGAATTATTTTGCAGCTTTTGTAACTAACACACCTGCATTTTGGGAATTGCTGTGGTGTTTCCTTTACTTTGTCCACCCCTGTATGTGTGCATGTTTGAGCCCGCATGACTAGAAGAGCACATCTTAGATTTGGCCCATGTTTTTGGGCGCCCAGGCTGTGAATGTCTGGAAACTGAATTTGTGCATGAAGGGGATTTTAGCCTATAGAAGGAAAGGCTTAACAAAAGAGATGTAGCAGTCACTTGATAATCTGAAAACACTATAGAGCAGTGTTTCCCAGTCCGGTCCTTAGGGACCCACGGTCGGACCAGGTATTTGCTCCCTCCAAGCTCTCTGCCAGACAGCCCTGCCAGATAGCTCCCTACTGGGAGCTAAGAGAGAGCAAAAACGCGGACTGTCTGTGGGTCCCCAAGGACCATATTGAGAAACACTGCTCTAGAGAAACTCACAGACTGGATCATCTTTGAAACATAAAATAAACATAATGCAGAATTCTGTCAGACAACAAGCTTATGGTGGCCATCATCTTAAAGCCCATGATTGATGGTGCCTAAGTATCAAAGCATTTGCTATATGTCTTACTGTCTTTTTTTCTGTTGCTTAGGCTGGCGTGGCTGTTTGTTTGTCCATTCTGGTCCATAATCCAGCCTACTATTTACCTGCTACCAGAGTGGACATTCCCTATAAGCATGCCCACCTCCAGATGATACTAATATAATCACTCATACCTGCACTCAGTACATTTAGGCTCATTTTGGTCAAAGTGTCATTGCTCTCTTGATGTTTGGTCTCTGCTGTTTGGAGAGCTGGGGTTAGTATCACAAAAGATTTGTTAATTAGCTAGATAACTTGTCAGATTTAAGGTACCTTAGTTTAAATGGTCTTTGCCTTCATTCATTTACATTTAGCTCAGACTCCCTTAAATCATACAAGTTATCTTGTTAACCCAAAAATCCAGCTTTGTGATACAGACCACTGTCTCTTGGTCTTGCCCTCTGAATCTTTCTAAACTCTAGTTTTGTTTAGTTTAGTTAATTTGATTTGTTAAGTTGATTTGGATTTGATTCGTTCTGACCGTTTGTTAATTTTCTTGTTTCTGACCATGCTCTGTATCTCGTTGCCTGTTAGGTGACCTTAGTTCAAACCTTAGTTATGAAACCTCGTCCTTTTCCTGATCCATTCCTACTCGCTAGTCAGCAGTCCTAGTCCTATCAGTTCTTGGACCACGGAGGCTTACCTGCCGAAGAAGAAAGGACTGACAGGCAGAAGACCTGGCTGCGCTGATGTGTGTGGTTTGGGACATGCACATTTGCCTGACACTGTGTACAGGGGGGAATTCCACAAAGCAGCGTTTCTTGCTTAGTTGGATAACTTGTTGGATTTAAGGTAGTCTGGACTAAATGGACTTTATCTTTGTTCCCTTGCAATTAGCTTAGACTACCTTAAATCTGACAAGTTATCTCATTAAGCAAGAAGTCCTGCTTGGTGGGACACCCCCTGTTCTTCGGGCATTATTAATAAAGTCCAGTTTTAATTAACTAGGTCTTGTGATGGCATGGAACATGTCCCATGTTCAGGGCTGGACTGGCCATCTGACATAGAGGCCATTCTCCTGGTGGACTGATTGGTATGTGGCTCAGCAAAAATCTATAGTGGAACAATCTTGCTGTTCAACAAACTTTATTGTAGGGGCCACTCCCCCCACATGGTAAACTCTTCCTGGGGATCCTAAAATCCAGAGCTGATTTTTAATCCCAGTCCAGCCCTGCTTGTGTTTCACATTCTTATTGTGGATTACCTTAAGCATCATTTAATACCATAACCAGAAACTCAACAAGTGAAGGTTTGATGTATAACCATGTCATTTGTTTGTTTTTACAGCTGTGAATTTCTCTGATACAACTTGCACATGCAGAGCTGTGCCACCTGGTGGCAGTAGAGCGTTTTCTCTCGCTTCCTAACCACGATCTTTTATATCTTATGTTTACAGCAAGGAATATTACACAACTGAATCCTATCAAAACTTGAGTCTGTTGAATAATTTTATTAGTATTGTTGCAGTCCAATAGCTATGATCGCCAACCCATGTCTTGTATTAGATGGATAACTGCTAAAAAGTCAGGTATTTAAAATTTGACCTTATTAAAAAATAAAGTGAGGAGTGATGGTTGACTGACAAACTTGCTCATAACAGCTGATAAAATAAGAAAACGTGAAAAGTTTTAAAATAAGGCATCCATAAGAGGGTATCCTATCCTGATATGCTCTCATTATATATCAGCTGGATCTTAAGTAGAGTTTCCAGAGATCTTACTTCCCAAAAATCCGAGGCAGACGCCACCCTTGTAACCAATAATATCAAACTCTCAACTTCCCCTGGAAAGCTTGCAGTCTGTACCTCCGTTCGGGAGTGAACTCTCGCACAATAGGCCTCATCAATTATGCATCTGCAGGCTCCGCCACCACTGAGAGGGAAAGGACAGATGTGGATCCACGACGGTTTTGCGTGTGGAGCTTTTTCTTGATATTCTGTGGACTTTGGGACCGGTGCCTTCGCTGAAAGACACGGAGGTGAACCTGAGCTGGCATACAGCATGGCGAGGCTGGGCCTCCGGACGCCGGTAACACGAGAGATCTTTCCAAGATGGTGGACTTCAGTGAGTGACGGTCAATGAAAGGTAAGAAAGGGAAGCTGGATCAGAGATGTACTGTAACAGGAAAGGCGCCCAGTCTAAATTATATTCTGTCCACATGACTGAGGAAATGGGCTGTTTCGTGATGATATTCTTTCAGAAACATCGACAGCACTTCAGTCCTGAGGAATATAACCCTACAACAGTCATTATCTTTTGCTTGTGTGTGCTCTCAGTACAATCTTTTGCAATGTCAAAGTCTTTACTTCTTTCTTTAAGTGAAATATAATCAGCATTTTGTATATTTGAAACTTAGGTTCAAATTCAAAAGCAAAATAGGTTAAGAAGTGTGTGAAATGTTTATGTCTTTGGTTTGTCTCATTTGTTTCCATAATAATTTTTAAAGTAATGAAATAGTTATTGTTTCTTTAGGTCGCATTGAGAGACAGGTGCCACTCTAGTTTATTTTACTCTAGTTTGTTTTACAGTTTATTTTAGTTTATTTTACTCTAGTTTGTTTTACAGTTTATTTTACTGTAGTATATTTGTTAGGTTATTGTACAGGTGAGTAATTTTTTATATTTGTTTTTTTCTAGTATATTTGGATACTGGTTTCTGGTTTTGCTTACTGTTAACATTACAATTTGAAGATTTTGGTCATATAACTAAATAATTTTAACATTTTGTTCCTCTGATCTGCTAGTGTGTTTTGGTACTTTCATATTATGTTGAACAACACAGGATAGATGAATAGACAGCAAATCATTGCTAACAGCTCAATCACTCAGTAAAATATATTCAGTGATTCCAACAAATGCACGTCAAAGATAATGCTATCCGGTTTATGAACACTAGGTCAGGGGGTCTAAGAGGCAGT